AAAATTGTCTAACATAGTCCATTTAGCTGTTCAGTTTCTCCTCGGGGAATTCCTCCCAGCCATCCCTGGAGGCTTGGCTCGAAAAAGGTGTGGGCTGAAGAGCTCATGCTATGAGGTCCCGTCTTTACACCACCTGTGGATTTTTGCACATACCCCAACAACTGTGGCATCTTGCCAGTGCGCCAGGCTTTGACAACAATTTTTGTTATGGCCATAGACTTCCATTGTTTAAGAGACGTTTGTAAATCAATAGATACATTGTTTTGAGCGTCACATCCCCTCGAAATGACTCGTTTTAACAATTTGGTCCAATACCATTTATAAAGTCTCTGGCTCGGCCAGAGGAAGGTAAGCTTGGCCAAGCTTAGCAACTGTAAGTCTCTAGTGCATCTGCTCTATGGGACTCACAATGCGGAAGCAGTGCCGATCACCTGGGTAAATTAATACGCCGTAGTTGAACCATTCTGGTTTCATGTGCTACTAAGCAACTTTTATAGGAATGAACAAGGCCCTGCCTTCAGTGCTGTGTCCAGGTCTATTTATACTTCTTTGTTTAAAACAGCAGGCTGGCATCCCAGAAGCAAACGAGGCATGACGGGCTCGACGTGTAACACAACAGTGTCAGCCTCTAGTGTAACATAGGCTATTACATAAGCGTCAGCAGCGCTTTCAATAACAATGGCATAACATGTAACAATCATTTATCTTCCCTGTCATATGGCGGTTGATGTCGTCATCTGGTCAAAGAGTAAGGAGCTCACAGGCCTCATTTTTTTCCCAATTTGTGGACATTTTCAGCTGCTGTTCTCCTTCTTTGAGTTAGGCGCTAACTGCTACAAATTGCTATTAAAATCTCTCGTGATGGGTCGCACACAGAACTCATCATCAACACACTTGTCCTGTCCATGGTCCCATCCTGCCGGCTGTCAATCCAGCGCTGTTACTACCTCTGCTGTTGGTTCAAAGGTAAGACAACTCTGTTCTCCCTACCGGGAACATATCTTTTTATAAGGAACAGCAAGGCGCTTTTGTCTCTCATTCCCAGTGTAACACTGGCACTCTGGCACCCTGTCAGCTGCTGTGAAACAGACACTGGCACACCCCTCCAGCCAGCTGAGACGAAAAACACCTTTATTCTTCATTTTAATTAAAAGTATTAACAATATATTTAAAAAATATTGACATTGTGACTACAAAAAGGGATTACTTAATGTGATTAAAATTTCCATTTTGGCTTTTGGATTTAAACCAAATGTGTGGCTTACTTCACAATAAGCCATACACATATTCTTTCATTTTTAAAATGCCCTTTTTACTGTTTAAAAAAATACATATACCTACAGGACTTGACAGACAAACCTTGTTTCTCATTTATCCTTCAGTCTGCTTTTGTTTGAGATGCTCTCACTCAAAGCCCTCAGGGCGTACAAGCTCTGCTGGTTGAAAGACTGAAGATGGATTTATACTCTTTTATTAACCATCTTATTATTATGAATTCTGTCTGGCCTTGTTGAAGAAACATCTGTGGGCCTTTTAGTGTGTTATTTCCTTTAAGTATTTGAGTGCAATCAAACTTGCTTACTGTCTTGCCCATACTGGAGCAGTCTGGTACCTGACAGTCAAGGTGGTCTGCAGTATGGACGCAACAAGTCATCCCAAAGTACAGAGAGAACAGTGTAGCTCAGCCCTTTGAAGGCTGCTGTAGATTAATCCTCTTTAGTCAACCTTTTCTTCACAGTGGTCCAGTTGGAGTGGGAAAAAGTGAGGGGGTGTTCACTCGATAACCACAAGCTGTCTGAGGAAGCTGCTTGCCGCCCTTTAATGGCTCCAGCAACTCGGTAGAAAAGCAAACTGGCTGTTAAAACATCCGGAGTAAAACACAAATACCGGCAGTCAAACAGCAGTTTGTGTGCGTTTGTTTTCAACAGCTGTTGGATTTGTATTTCTGCTTGCATGTTTGTCTCCGTGCAAACAACCCTGTTCTGCACGGGCCAGTCCAACCCTGTGATGTATCCCCGTGGGAAAACTAAAGCGGCCAACCGTCTAACACAGCTCAGATCAAATAAGCACAGCACAGACCTCCTCACCTGCTTTGGCCTGACTAATCTGCGTTGTTCCAGCCTTGGCGGGAAGACAGACATTTCTCTGAATAACTGAGGGGGAAAATGTCATTAACTGATGATAACAAATAATCTAAGACTCACCCTGTGTGGGATGACTACATAGGGAACATTTCATTCAGCATTACTCTCAACAGTATTATCAGGGAGCAGATTTTACCACCGATTGCACTGGGTTTGTATTTTTGTCTCTTTCATGTTCACTTTTCAGCCTCACCAGCATGTATATCTAAAAGTAATCCAAATAAAACATGCTCGTCTCTGGAGTCTCTTTGTAATCAGTCCAGGGTTTTTTCAATTTTGTACAATTTGGCTCTGCATCTGTTTCAGTGCTTATGAGTTTCATGAAAGCGAGCAGCTTTTATTCAAAGCTGATGAGGCTTGGAGCGAGTGTGTGCTCAATCTCTGACAATCAGTTTAAGCTTTTGACTTTGACAGCGAGGACATTTTGTCTGTTACTTCTTCTTGGTTACACTTCAGGGTGGAAGGTTAGAAATTTTGCCAATGACGGTCCACAGAAGTATTTCACTACAAATGTGTACAAGTGTGTGTGAGTGTGGAGAAGTTAGGTTGGTGTGGGTGCATTCAGGACAAACATGTACAGTTAAGACCCTTTTACTGTTAGTAAACAGTATGATGTTTTTTGGTGGGCGGGGCTTAGCTGGAGGCAAAACAATTCTCCACGGACATTAGTTAGTGCTAGCTAGCGAGTTCTGTTGGCTTGTTTTAGACACTAAAGGAAGATGATACGAGACTCTTTGAATAGGGTGCATTCAGAAATACTCATTCTGAGTGCCTGAGTGCACTCTGGCACGAACTGGACTGTTCATAAATTCGGAGCGCTGTCGGAGTGTACTGTTCAGCTATCCAGAGTGCCACACTCTTGGAGTGGCAGAGCGCACCCTAGGCACTCTGTCTGGGGAGACGGAGCAGTTTGTTAATTCATATAGAAATATAACACTCCATTTCTTCGACCAGCAGGGCTCTCATTTTAGTGTAGAGCGTCAGACTGAATTTACGAACGCACCATGTCAGGTCACTCACTCTCTGGGACCGCGAGTGTTACTTGAATAAGTAAACACTTACCAACTGGACCAGACTGGCTGACCCGTATGCTCTCACTCAGTGGATGGATGATGTCACAGGAAGCTTTGTGACTGGTTACTATGCCAGTTTTACAAAGGAGGACGACACTTGACCGGTTTCCTCTGGTTTGTTTTGCTATCGAAGCTAACATTAGCTAATGCGCTAAACAGATAGCGTTACAGAGAAATCCAATATTCTTCTTAAAGCTATAGTTGGTAATGTTGGAGAGCTAGCAAGATTTGAAAGCGGCACCTCCTCTAAGCTCCGCAACCTGCCCCCCCTCCCGTCAGTGCTCCGTCCAAAGCCACGAGCCCAGACATGCCTGAACACGCATCCTGCAGTCAGCAGAGCAGAAGAGAGCCGAGTAAAATATCCCCCCAAATCCCCCCAAAGCAAACAAATAATTACCTGTCCAACAGAAAGACAGCAACCTCTGCATCACTTTTCAGGCCCTTCAGCTCCCTCAGCTGACTTCGTCGCAGCCTTTTCTGCTTCTGACTTTCTTTTCTCAGCCTGTTTAGTGGGGCAAGCCATTACAAGTAACACTGGAAGTGATACTTTTGGCTGCATTTTCTCTGCCATTGTGCAGCAAACTCCTGCTAACTCGGTATTTCTGCTGAGTGTGCTGAATATTTCCGGCAAAGGTGACATGTGATGAGTGTACACAGGGAGGAGGGAGGGAGGGACGGAGGGGGGCTCAGGCAATACGAGACATGAAGACATCTGATTGGTTCTTTCCATTCGCACCGAATGGCAGGGATTGGTCAGAGTTTTTACAGGCCTGCAGCTGCCACAGAGGTCAGATTTTTTCATTCCTTTTTCTGAACACATTATGTATTGACTACTCTCAGGATGGAAGGACCATTTCACCCAGTATCAAGTAACAAGAAGTGTTTCTGAACAGGATTACCAACTATGGCTTTAATACTCCCCCAATATCTGATTAGGTGGACATTATAACTCTTAATACACATAATGTTATTCATCCCTACAACAGGAAATTCTTTCTCCCTAACCTAATATGACATTAGAATTTTTAATGATCGTCTCTGCCCAGTCGTTTCGTCTTATCGCATTCAACCCTAGTTGTCTTAGTGTTTGTTGACGGGCAGTGGCTTCTGGTATGTGATAAAATTTAAGTTTTGAGCCATGACTCCTTCTATTCTGGCTCCCAATAACACAACAAGATGACATTTTAAGACTCCTATGTAGCCTACAGCCCTGTGGTGGTGAGTGCTGTTTTGCCTCCAGCTAATGAAATTATGTCATTGTGACATCAGTCCTACAAGGATCTAATGACACGCCAACTCAGATTCAAGCTGGAACAGTCCAAGTTAAAGACCTCTCCAGGCTGAAATTGTGGCTTTAGTTTGCAGTTTTTCAAACATGTCATGGCAAAGTCATGCAGTTACACAACCAACACACAGGTGGAAACATTGCTTAAATGCAGAACCATGCCTGTTAGGTCTGTTTATGTGCTGTTGGATCTATTTTTGCTGAACTAGTGTGCAACTCAGAAGCATCAAATTCACTTGTGAATACACATAGATACCTATCTGTATTGACAGTTCATGTAAAATTAGAAATTAATGATGCTCTGCATGCCCTGAAGTCTTTGAAGCAGGAGAGGGAATGCTACAATTTTCCTCCCACTAAGATACACAGGTTAGGCAAGATGTGTGCTGCAAACAGTAATTAAAATTAGTATGATAAGAGTCGCGAGTTCATGTATTTTAACAGCTGTAAACATGTATTGAGTGTGTCTGCAAACAAAAACAAGACAAAAAGACTCACAAGATTGGAAACGTAGCAGCTGAAGGCAGACAGCTCGACCTCTGAGACGCTTCCAGGAGATGAACTGCAACAAGGCCATCCATACTGCAACAAGGATGCACTGCAGCAGGGCACCAGCTACTATTTTGAAGACATCACATCACTTATTCTGCAACTCTTTTACAAAACTAATCACAAATGTAACAAAATCCTAACCATAAAAAATCTGCCATATTTTCTTGAATTGTCACTACATCCAGACAACAGCACACGAGACAGATAATATGTGAAAAAAAGGAAGTGATAAATTCCACGTTGCCATGTTGAAAACAGTCGTGCCATTATGAAGCACCTCCCACCAGATGGAGCAAACTCTCATTTTACAGCCAAACAGTACACCGAAACATGCAATAGGCAATGCAGTAACGGAGAACTGATTCATTTTTTATCAGTTCTGTCTAGTTAGGTAGTTTAACCAAAGTTCATTAGCAGTAATTGACATGGATTGATATTCATGTTATGTCTCGGACTACTTTTTGGATGTAGTGAGAGTTTCAGCAAATATGACAAAACGTACCTACTGTAGCTTTAAGAAAACCTCAATACATGCTGAATATTGATAAAAGTGAAAAATGCAGTCTCAGACCCAGACACATTTCTAACAAAAATATATCGCAGTGCAGCATGCTTTAAGATTAAACCCTCTCTTTATCTCTCTGCCTTTCGTTTTAACACACACACACACACACACACACACACACACACACACACACACACACACACCACACACTGGCAACTTGCCAGGTGGCACATTGTCACAGCATGAGGTTTTGTGGTGCTAAAGGCGATACAGCATGGCACTCTGTAAACTGTCATACGGCAGCAGACATGTCAAGACAGGATCAAAACGAGGAAGATCTTTCTCTCTCTCTCAAACACACACATATAGAAACACACACATCTGAGCACACTGCATAAACAGATGCACATGCAGCACATGGATACATTCGCACTCGGTGTTGAACCCTGGTGATCTCTCTGCAGGAGCACAGTGATGAAGTTAAAACAAAATAATTTATCAGTTTAACCTTAAACTAATTCAACAAAATTCTCATTAGTGTGTGTGTGAAAGAATCTGCTGTCGAGTTTGCAGTATTGGATTGGTTAAGATGAAGAGCAGGAGTAACAGTAGCGCGCGCACGCACGCACGCACACACACACACACACACACACACACACACACACACACACACACACAAGTTAATTACATCTCCTGAGTGTGTCATTGCTAACCACTCTGTCTTTATCGCTACAGAGTCACTTAGGCTTAGGCCAGCAGGGTCGGCTGCTATTTTAGCTAACACAGCAGCTTGGTGGCCTAACTCTGATAGAGGGGGTACACACATTCACATAGACACACACGTGTACACCACACACACAGCAACGCATGAGGGTTAAGACATTCGAATTGCAGTTTTTAAATTGATGTGGGCCTCAAATGCTACATTTTCCTGCTCGGAGCTACTCCCACCCAATCATCTGGGAAAACAGCCACGGCAGCATCGAAGGGATGAGAGCAACTTTTACTGTAGGTGCTGTAAATCTAGGTAGCTTATCCAGTTGAAGGGCTTCATTGCAGAAAGCTGAATCCATTTTGGGGAGATTGCAAACTTGTGTGTTTATTTCTCACCAAAACCAGGTAATTGCACTCTCTAAAATAACAATTCCCAACCTTTTGTGTGTGCACCCCCAGAGCTCTCGCCCTCACATGAACTCATCGACATCTCACGCTCCAAATGTGTTCATTTAAAGAGATTTTTAACTGGCTATCAGTATAAATTATATAAAAGTGGACACTGTTACAATGTTTTCATGAAATCAGTCTGTCAGTGCTGGGTCTGTTTGTGCTACCTCTTAAAATAGCAGAAGCTGGACATTTCTGTCACAGCTGGTGAATACAGGCAACGAGGGACAGGATCTAAAACGCAGACAACAGCAGGTAGACAGGATCAGTTAAGTGTTATGGCTTACTGATAGGTACTGGAATTGTGAGGCAGGCAGGGTCAAAACTGGGAAGGCAGCCCACTCAGACAAACAATCGGATCAGGGACAGGCCAGGAAATCCAAAGTCCAAACAAATCTCAGGAGGCAGGTTACAGGTAAATAGAACCACATACAGATACTAGGAAGCTTCAGCGAGAAGCACAGCAACTGTGACACACTGTGGGGAAAAGGGCTGGTTTTAAACTGCAGGGCTGATGAGAGGAAGTGGAAACAGGTGTGTATGTGGGAGGGGACGTCAGGTGACCAGGACTGGCAAGAGAGTGTGAGAGCATCTAGTGGATGGTTTGAGAATGGCAGGTTTGGGGAGTGACAGGAGGGTGCATGTCCTGGGGGAAGTGAGCAAGGGCTGAGAGGCAGGCCACATAAACCAATCAGCTATAAAGTCCTTATGACAATTTCAACTAATTATCCAGTACTTTATATTTATGTATATATCAACTAGATCTACTTTTAGCGAACTATTTAAAATGTTCATCTATTAATTTTTCAATCAAGTTATCTGTTACTTTATGCCAACAATTTCAACATCAACTACACTTAGCTAGCTATTTTAACCACTCATCCATTACTTTTATACAACTATTTCAACCATTTATTGATTACTTTTAGCAAACTGTTCCAACCGTTTACTTATTGCTTTTAGCTAGCACTTTTGCTATCAATTTAAACCATTTATCTGTAACTTTTTGCTAAGAATTTCAACAGTATCAACTAGGCCTTACTTACTTTTAGCTACAGCTTAAAGCAATTAATATGATTGAAATAGATTTAACTATTTTAACCATTTTTTGATTACTTGTAGCTCACTATTTCAGCAGTTAATCTATTAATTTTGCAAAAGGTTCAACTAGACCTTCTTTTAGCTTACTATTTTAACCATTTATCAGACCCTCCAGGATCTCGCGGCAAAAAAACCTTGAATTTGTGGCCAATTTTGACAAAAATTGTGATTAAAAATTGAATCAGTTTTATGTGATTTTTTGCGGGAAATTGCAGCAAATGACAAAAGGAGAATTTTTTAAATTTTTTTTTAAATGACTGCCTCCAAAAAAATAAGTCATGTAATCACTTGCTATAATAATCATACTGAAGATTACAAGACAGCTGCAAATGTTTTTTATAGTTCTCTTCTTTAGTTTTATTTAATTAGTTTCAAAACATGGACTCCAATAATGTTGCAAAAAATCCTGAGTGAATATTGTAGCTCTCAAACCACACAATGTGACTGTAAAACAACATGTAAGCTACACCTTCTGCAAACATTACATTTTAATACATTCAACACATATTGCAAACATTTAAACAGTGCAGATTCTTATGTCAGTACCATAGCGTTTCTCCATACTGCAATGCCATTAGTGCATTTGATGATGCGTCTGATGACGTTTCAAATGATGTTTCAAGCGCGATGACTTCTGGTCGGCTGGAAAATGCAGAAAAACGCGGAAAAATCGCAGGTCTTTTGAAAAATTGCAAGCCCCCGCAAATATTGCGGACTTTTGTTGAATTTGTGTTTATTATTGTAATCGCAAGATCATGATTTTCTGGAGGGACTGATTTATGTATTGTTTTTAACAAACCATATGTAGCATTACTTAAAGCCAACTAAGTGTTTCAACCATTAATCCATTAGGCAACATTTAGCTAACAATGTCAGCTGTTGTCAATCTATTAATTTTCCTATTGATTTCAACCGTTCATCTGTTACTTTTCACTAACGATTTCAACAGTATCAATTACACGTACCCTGAGCTAACTATTTTAACCTTTAATCCATTACTTTTATCAAAATGAACAACAATTTATTTATTACTTTTAGCGTACTGTTTCACCCATTTATTTACTGCTTTTAGCAATCCATCTCAAGAGTTTCAACTATAAACTACTTTTAGTTTACTATTGTACTATTTCAACCATGTATTTATTGTTTGCAGTTAACTTTTTTTTTATAACCATGTAGCATTACTTTAATCTACTTACAGCTCTTAACCATTAATTCATTACTTTTAGCCGACAATTTCAACTGTTTATTGATTTTTCTGTCGATTTTACCATTTAGCTGTTACTTTATATCAACCATTTCAACAGTATCAATTAGACCTCCCCTTAGCTAGCTGTTTCAAACTTTTATTTATTAGTTTTAGCTAACTATTTCAAATGTGTATGATTTTGCTTTCCATTTTAATTTTTAACAGGACCTACTTTTAGCTTACTTATTTATGATTTTAAGTAAGTATCCATTATTTTTAGCAAAATATGTTAAACATTTATTTATTTAGCTAACCATTACAACTACGTAGCTATTACTTGAAGCTAGCTAAGTGTTTCAACCATTTACCCTTAATGTGAAAATCCCGCTACTCGCTCTATTCGCACCGCTATTCACGCATTTTGCGTCGCATCTATCACACGTCTAATCATGTCTTTATATTGACTTTACATGTAATTCACTCGTGCAAATTGTTTAATTCACGCCCTGTGTGAACACAACATGCTATTTCAACTGATTGTCCGTTTAGCTATTTTACCATGTATCCAAATTGCATCTGTTTTAACCATTCATCCATTAGTTTAAGCTTTTTTTTTAAACCATAAATACATCAGTTAACTATTTCAACTGTTCATAAATTACTTTAGCCTTTGACCATTTGTTACTTTTAGTTGATATCTCACTGCTTGCCTGCTATATAGTTTTCACACTGTCATGGCAACATGTAGTGTTTTTGTATGAAATCAACCTTGGCAAATATTCATCTCCCATTCACTTCCATTCAATAAAGGGGCAGAAACAGCATTGGCCACTGGTGGCAAAGTGAATTTGCATCTTTGCATCAGAGTTCAACTTTGGTGAGCACTGACTGGCAAAGTCACAGCTTTAAGCAATAGCAAAGATGCATGTGTGGAGGAGACATTGATTGTTGCCATTTCTAGCGAGCCAATATTGTATTGGATTATAAATAAACAAAAACAAAATGAAAATGTAGCAATACCATCACATTTTCTGGTATTTAAGGGAGCTAGTGAACATTACCTGGCAAACCAGGTGTGTCTCCAGGTGTGTTATACCCTACGCTGCTCACATTAAGCATGAATATTGCCTCAGCAGGCAACAGTCAATCACCTGCATTCACTCATTTGAGACTGTGCCCACAGCTGACTCAAAATGTGGGCCTATCTTTTTATTCATGTTGGTATACTATAAACAGCCAGAAAAAAAAGGTGGGTGTACCCCATATACCTGTGTATGCCCTCCACTACAGCACTGGTTGAGCTCCTCCACAATCTGAGAATCTAACACTAAGACTCTTTTTAAAACGCTAAGGTGATCTAGCCGCTGATGATACCAGTGTTCAACAAATGAGACAGATGATGCTTAGCTTAATCACAGTTCATGTGTAAACCTCTCAGTTTCCCTTCCTATCAGTCAACACTGTGAAATACATTTGCAGCCTGTAAAAGGCACATTAGACAGGCACACAGATTGCGGGGCATGATGCGGCACAGTTCAACAAGTTGCACTATGGGTTTGACCCTTTTCTCAGCAGCTTCTAGAGGTGTCATGGTGTGACTCATCATCACTCAGCTTACTTGCTGAAAATTCAGGGGGAAAAAAAACTTGCATCATAGACCTGCAGCCTCTGAGGAGGCAGTTATAGTGCTATCATCCCTGAAGCAGACAAATAATCCATGGTAGTGCTTCCCACGGTTGTTACAGAGGATGGAATTATTTGTCAAGACTGAGGATGAACATCTGCAATTCTGTGAAAAGGCAACAGACTGAGTCATCTCCTGGATGGCACTCATGATGAGCAACATTTGAGCACCAGTTCTTCTTTCAGTGGCAATTTAGAATCTATTAAAAACTGGGAACCAGGTCTGTGAAGTGAACTCTGGATCATGGCAACTGGAATTGCAGCCATTTGTGATTTACACAGAGGCTAATATTAGCTAAGAGGAACACTGCAGACAGCAAACTGGCACAAGTAGGAGTCTGAATATAATAAACTGTGTGGACGTTGAACTAATGACCAAGGAGAAATCCGCACCCGGGAACCACTGGACTAATTAATGCACACTGTAGCCGGAGATGTGGAGTCCAGTCACTGTGACTTGGACTCAAGTCAACTCGAGTCACTGTTTTGATGACTTGCAACTTGATTAAAGACTTGACTTGATTTGACTTAAGATATGATGACTCAAATGACTTGTCTGTTTTCATTTTAAATATTAAACACAAAACACTAGTATTAAAAGTATTTGCATTACAAGTACCTGTTAGTCAAGCTCCTTGTGATGCTACCTGACGATTCAAACAGTGGGTAGGAACAAGAAATCCGCAAAGATATTCAGCTTGAGTATTTCAGTTTCACAGACGGGATTTTGTTTTGTTTTGTTTTGTTTTTTCAAAATTTCAAAAAGATAAGCTTTTAAAATGTTAATTGTTTTTTGTTTGATTACATTTATTTAATTGGATATCAATAATTATACAAATTCAATTAATTGTCGTACTTTTCCTTGTCTTTTTTCTTTATAAAGAAGTGATAATGCACATAAGTGTGCAGAAAGAAAAAAGTGACTTGGACCAAATGACTTGCGTCACATGTCTGGCTGCAGCACTTAAAGGTGCAGTCAGGGATTCCAATCTAATACACTTTTTGTCAGATTGAGCAAATATCTGAAACCCGATGTTTGTACACAGCCATGGCTCTGTAAACAGGAAACAAACAAAGTGATGATTGGACAGAGCCACACGACATTATTCCAGTCAGGCGAGCGTTCCTGCTCCTGCACAGGAAAGGTGAAAGGCCAAGGATGTATGAAGAGAAAGGCAATAGGAGCAAGAGGTGCATGATGGGAGGAGTGTATTTGTTCAAGTGTTGAGTTCAATTATCAACAGTCTTTCTTAGGGGTGTAAACGACTAGCTTCCTCACAATACGATATTATATTGACTCTTTAGATATCAACTGACCTTTCGCTAAGCCCTTTGTGATGCTCCAACAAGCTGTCAGAGTAACCATGGAGCCCACATTGTAACTAACCGCACTCCCTGAAGAAAGATTAACATATTTTTGGAAAAATGAAAGAGTGATTCCAGAGAGAAGCAGACAGAGGGGTCTAC